ACTCCACGGGGGAGTTGGCCAAGAGGAAAGGCGGTCTAGGAGAAACAAGGGAGGGGGGCGAGGGCGGGAAAGCGGGAACTTGGCTTTGAATTTCTAATAAGCCAAGTTATTTGCGCATGACTCAACCAAAGATACAACGTCGTATATACATACATATATATACATATATATTTATTCATGATACTTTGATTCGTTTGGGGATCGGCTTGGAAACGAAGGGGCCTGTTGTTGGGTTAGTTGGGCAAATATTTATAGAACCAGCTAGCCAACTAGCCTGTCAGCCAGCCAGGCAAATCGACTATCTATAAAATACTCATAGAGCTATAACTTATTTTTAGCTGCTGAATCTTCACTCCAGTCCCCAGTCCCCAGTGCCCAGTCCAGCCAATCAGTCTGCTTAAACAATAATAACAAAAACCACAATATAAAAGTTTGAAATTAATAAAAATAAAAGCAAAAAGTTGGATGAGTCGATGAGTCGTCGTGACATGAGCCCGAACCCGAATCCGAATCCGAGTTGACTAATAATACCTCTGGCGGCACATTTGTCATATTTTGCTCGAAGGTCGTTGCTTAATTTCTCGATCTTGCTCCTAATTCCTTTATGACAGCCAACAGTAGGCCAAAAAGGTGGCCAAAACAGCTGGTCAACCAACAAATAGACTGTTATATTTGAAATATTTTGAAATATTTTATTAAGCACTATACGATACACAGTACTCTTGGAAGCTCTTTAGGTCTGAATATTAAATATTTGTTGCATTTTCTAATTTTTCAAAATTTTCCTTTTTGTGTGTGTTTTGTTTTAAGAAGAATGTTTTTTTTTTTTGGCATCCCAAACGCAATCATTTCCAATTATTCACAATTACTTTCGGTTCTACCCCACTCTCTACTTTTCAGGTTTTTTATTTGTCTTTTTTTTTTCCTTTTTTTTTGGCACATTTGCTGGCTCCAGCGAGTCGGGCATTGTGGATGAATTAGTCAGGAAATTAATTAATCAAAACTAACGCAAAGAGCAGAACACAAACAGAATGTAAAAAACAAAAAAAAATAATAAATAAATAAAAGTTGCTCTACAATTTGTTGCCTGTCATTTGTGTGGCGCTACTCCCCCCTATTTTTTGTTATACTTTGTTGTTTTTGTTGTTTAATTTGTGTCGCCACCATTGCGACTCTGTACCCAGCACCGCCCTCCCCCTCAGTCGTCTGGCAGTAGGGCATTTGAACAACATCCCCCCCTAAACAGACCCGCCTTCCGCTTTCTGGCCCCCTCCAACTCGTTTCCCGCCGGACAACCTTGAGAGGCGCTTAAAATGTTTTGATTATTATATTATTATTGTTTCTTTTTTTATATCTGAAAATAATAGCTAGAGGTGGGTGGTGTGGGGAGTGGGGTCCAGGAAAGATTATCTCTAGCGGGTTTCCAGGTTGGCCATTCAATTCAATCAATTAATGAAAACAAGAATCGAGCCAATATCTTTTCATTTCTATATTTCTTTTTTTTCTAAAAATGTACAATAATAATTATTTGTATTCAACTTAATGGTTTTTGCGATTTATACACTGTGAAAAATACATTTCTTTAGAATTCTTTTTAATTTAATTTGATTTAGGAGAATAGTAATAGCTTAAATATTTTGTATTCCCTTGTTTTATAGATATTGTTTAGTTCTTTAACAAAAAATATATTTTTCCAAAGATTTTCGAACCTGAAACTTAATATTTGCTCTGTTTAATAAATTTCTGAGGTAACAGGAAAGAGAAACTTAAAAAATATGGCTAAGAAAATACCAACAAAAGCTTTAAAATGTATATTAGTTATAAATTAACATTTGAATAGACTTTTTGTATATTTTATTAATAAAGTCAAGATTTGGTTTCTACGTCAGAGTTTTTTTTTCGGTAAAAGTAAAATAATCTTTTAATATATAAAATATAAAATACATTTTATACAAAAATGGAAATGAAAACATAAACAATTTTGAATCAAAATTAATTATAATATGCTCTTAATTTTATATAAATATTTTATGAGTTCGTTACCCAGTTTCCAAGACACATCTCTGCTAAAAAAAAATTCAAAACCAGCTATTTGAAAATGTCCATTGAATAAATTATATTTAAAATAAAAAACTGGTAAATCAACAGAATAAAATTAAAATGAGCTTTTTTTCTAGAATATTTTGCGGTCTATTTTAGACATGTTAATTATTATTATTTATTGAATAACTATTTAAATGATTTTGTATGTCTCCACTCCACTAATATGGCTCTAAAGTGAATAAATAGCCTTCGGGTGGCCATATGGAAAGCGTCAAGGCTGGTTGCAAATGCAAGAAGACTCTTTCCCGGTAATCGAGTTCATTTAAATGCATTAAACTTGTCTCATTATGCCGCATCAGTGTGGCAATATCAAGGGGCATCTGTGCAACACGAATCCTAAAACACACCAATCCCATCCAATCGAATCCAAATCAAACCGAAACCCATACGAACCATCGACTGAGTCATCGGCCGGTGGGGGAAATCGGGCTAGGATCCGGGGATACGGGCCACTCGGACATATGGCCGCAGTGGGCCGCAAATTGTTGAACAAACAAAAAAACATTTCATGCAATTTGTACGCGCCAAAGGAAAATACGGAATTTTGCGGTGAGATTGGCCAACAATTGTGATCAAGAATTTAAAAACCATTTCAGAGGGATTTTCTTAAAGAAAAAATAATTATTTTGGCAAGTCTACAAAGGAGATTGTATAAAAATAATATTAGAGAAACTTAACTTAGTTTATTAGAAGCGGACAAGCGGACACACGGACACTTAGCTTTAAAAATTTCCCATTGAAGTACTTTAGCCAAGACCAAAACCAACACAAAAATTTTAAAAAGATAGGTATATCTTTTATATTAAATTAAAACTAATTTCTTGAACAAAACTGTACAAAAATATATGGCCAACCATACCTGTTCATGTGTATGTGTGCATTTGGCCAATTTATTGTTGCATTTGGCAACTGGGCGGTGAAATTTTGTTCTCGCTTTGATCTTGACGCGTTTTTGACACTCGCCGAGCATTTCGTCGATTTTGTTTTCTGGCCAATATGAGATGGGCGGTGGGGAGAATGGTGGGGGTTTTTTTGGTTTCTTAGCCGAACGGACAGCCAACGGCATGTGCCTCGCATTTTTCATTTCATTTTCAACTCAAAATACGTATATGATGAGTTTTATTTTCCTGCCTTTCACACACAAAACGCCATTTCATACACATTTCGGCGCATTACTCAGCTGCAAGTGGAATTGGCTTGAAAAAAAATCCTCAAAAATCAACAGAAATTGTTCAAAAAGTGTGTGTCGTTTCGGTTTTCTACATATGTACATATATATTTTTAGTCGCATTCGGATCGCGCGATTCTATATGCAAAGCATATTCGCAATTTGTATGCTCGATCATAGTCGCAGAGGTCAGGCCAATTGCATTTTTGTTGCAATTGCTATTTGTTTGTCATCAAGGAGGTTTTTTTATTTTATTTATTTTTTTTATTTGGTAAATGTGATTTTATTTAGCCCATAAAAAATTTAATAGTCTCATTAGAAGAGTAAATAATGGCCTGTCCGCTGTTTTTGCTCGACTGTCCGTTAAATGTTTTTATGTCGGAATATTATCTTTGTTTTCTTTATTTTTGTAGATTCTATAGTTTTTAGATAATTTAGTAACTTGAAATATTAAGAATTTATAAGTTTTAAAAACATTCTTAGGTAAATTATAGTTAAAATCAAGAGTATCTCTTTTAATTTCTTTTTAACATTGGTTTAAAACCCTACTACTCCTGAGTCTGGTTTAAAAAAGTCCCTCTTGTTTGTGTCTCCGCTAAATGAAAAGTACCAATGGTTTGAGTCTGACCTAAAAACCGAAAGAGCTCTTAATTAATGAACCAAAACCATTAAAAACAAACTAAAAAACAATAAAATGTAGTTGGAATCTAGTTCATAAAATGTTTTCCATTTCCCGGCAGCTTGTTAGCTGGTCTTCTGTTGTTTTCTTTTCTGGTTTTTAGTTGTTTTTGTTTGCACTCGTTTAGACTTCACCTTGCCCTCCAGTCGGACAGGCCGGCACGCAACGAAAGCGGGCCAATTAAGATGGTCGAAAGGCCCCCAGGGGGGCGGTAGGGTGTAGGGGGCGGGTGTGGCGGGAAACTGTCAACTGGCAAGCGGCCAAGGCGCACGCACCGTGGCGTCTCCGCCGCCTCTGGAGATCTCGGCAGGAGGGTAGGGAGGCAGAGGAGCAGGGCATCAGGTGGCGTGGGTGGGCTTTCTGGGTGGAATACATACATATATATATATAGATTTTAATGTATATATGTATGTATGTGTATATAGTGCGTCAGAGGCGACGACGATGGCGCGGAAGTAGCATCCACCTCCACTACCGCCTCCCCCTTAATGACCTTGACAGCTCCCGTTTTGATTTATGCGGCATTTTGCAAAAGTCAACAAATGAAAATGACACAGAAATAATGCCAGCCAAAGAGCTCTCTCCCCTCCATTATTTCGATTTCTTTAGCCGCCAAGGTCATTCGCATAAATAGAAAGGTCTACCCATCCTGAAGATGATCTATGGCCCCAATCAGGGATTACAAATAGCTTGAGGTTTTCATGGCAAATTATAAAAAATATATTTAAAAAAAAATAAATAAAAATATATATATTTCAAAAAAAAAGTAAGAAGTTTAATGTTAAAAGATTAAGTATTTTTAATAAGTAATTATAGTAAAGTATAGGATGTATAATATATAATATAATACTCCTCCATTAACCCCAAAAGTTAAGAACTGGTAACACTTCGAAAATCAAGTGCCCAAAGTTTAAGGAGAAAAAAAATATAAAACCTAGTAGGTTTTGAACTATATAGCAAATGGTTAGGCCGAGACTATTCAGATCACTTCGTCAAATCATATGTTGCAATTCTGGGAAAAATTACTACCGAAAACCTTTCCACAAAAAAACTAAAAAAATAAAAAAAGGAGGACCTAACCTTACGGGAGAACTGGACTGGGTATATACATATTTTTATTCTAATCCGAATCCGGAAAATATCAGAAACGCTTGTAACCTATGTCCCGGTTCGACGACCGACACGGGAACTCTCAGGACAAAGCGAACCTGAAAGGGATTGGCGATAGCCCCAGAATGGGATCGATGGCCAGCCGACCGTTGACACCAGCCCAGATGCATCGCTACCAGGAGACCACCGGGCTATCTGTTGAACAGTTGGAACAGTTGAACACCCGTTTCCGGGCATTGGATCGCTATCAGCATGGATATCTGACACCGACGGATCTGATGCGTATTCCACAGCTGATGCAGAATCCCCTACATCGATTGATCGTCGATAGTTTCTTCCCCACCCTGGATCCCAATGCCCGGATGAATTTTGCCCAGTTCGTGGAGACGTGCGCCACGTTAATGGTGCCACAGTATGGCGGTGGTGGCGCCCCAAGTCGCAATACCCGCGCCCAGAAGTTGCGACTCCTCTCCAAGATGTTCGATACTCGACGCATCGGTAAAATCCATCGTGGGGACTTTCGTATCATAATGCGCTGCCTTTTGGATCCCAAGGACACAGCGTCACAGTCCCAGCAGGATATGCCAAAGCAAGATAAACAGGATACTACGGAGACTACTAAGGAGACTCCAAAAGAACCTAAGAATCAACAGGATTTAATGGATTATCTTCAAAACTCAAAGATAAAGATAGAGTGGCTTTTCGATCCTATAGAGAAAGAAATGAAGAGAGAGGAAGATTCAAAAGATCCATCGAAGGACATTCGCCCGACTGCTCCTGTCAGCACTATCTGGGAACAAATCGCAGACTCCGAGATAGAGGCCGAGCTCACGCTCCTGGAGCAACAGGCCTTCGGTTCGCAGTCTTGCGCGGAGATCACCTGCCAGGTGTTCGAGGAGCGTCTCAACTGTGCCGACATCGATGGCCATCTCTCGATCTCCAAGTGGCTGGCGGAGGAAAACGACGATCTATTGGGCGACCGAATTCTAAATGGCAGCCTTGGTCATAACCCTAACGATTTGCCGCCAGGGAATACCGATAACCAGAATAACGATAACGATAAATCATTGATTTATCAATTTTTCACCTCGCTTGTGGAACTTTTGCATTAATTATTATCGAAATATTAATCCATGTATGCTGCCGTCTTTTTGGAAACTTTTTTCAATCACTTTTGTTCTCGAATTCTACAAAATTTAAACCAAAAATAAATTCTAAATTAAATACAAATAAAAGGCTTTGTTGTAAACAAATTATTGCATACTTCAAAGGGCAGTACTTTAGTGCTTTTTTAAAGAATAATTTTGGGAGGGTATACTTTTTAGGTTTCTGAAATGGAATATTCAAATAATAAACTAAATTTAAATTAAAAAATATTATTTATTTTTAAGTAAACTCCAAATAAAAAAAGGATATTTAACAATTTAGAGTACATTTATTTTCTCGGCCGCCTTTTAGCGAAAAATAATAAAATATTTATAAAATAGTACAAAATGTGTGCCTGGAAAATGGTAAAATTTTATTTATATTAAAATTAATTTACCAGGCAGTCGATTTTTGTAAAATTCAGTAACAGTTCTTGGGGGCTGAGCAACAAAAAAACAAACAAAAAAAAACAGTATTCAGATTATGTACAGTATTTACAAGTCATGGGCTTTCGTTTTTTTTGTTTGTATGTCCAGGGATTTTCTCTCAGTGGCTTAGGCCCAGCCACCGGCTGGCTGCCAACCGCCGCCGCCACCACCGCCGCCCGAGGACCAGCCACCGCCGCCGCCATGTCCGCCGCCGCCTCCGCCGCCGGAACTGAGCTTGATGATCTTGATGACCTTGGTGCCGCCACCGCCGCCGCCTCCATGGCCACCACCTCCTCCGCCGGACCAGCCTCCGCCTCCACCGCCGCCGGAAGACCAGCCGCCGCCGCCTCCGTGACCTCCTCCTCCGCCTCCGCCCAGGCTGATGATCTTGATGAGCTTCACATCTCCTCCACCGCCGCCGCCGCCATGTCCTCCACCACCGCCGCCAGAGGACCAGCCACCGCCGCCTCCTCCACCTCCAGACCAGCCGCCACCTCCTCCTCCACCGGATGACCAGCCTCCACCTCCACCGCCTCCTCCGCTTTCTGTGATCACTTTAATGATCTGGACATCGCCGCCGCCGCCGCCTCCATGACCGCCACCGCCACCTCCATGACCTCCACCGCCGCCGGAAGACCAGCCACCGCCTCCTCCTCCGCCAGAGGACCAGCCACCGCCACCACCTGGCTTCGGTTTGGCCGACACACTGGCCACTCCAATAATCAAAAGACACACAAAGGCCTAGGAAAAATAGAAAAAAAAAATATTAAAATATATAAGATTAATATTTTAACTACTTAAATATAATTTTTAAATAAATCAGACTCCAAAGAAAGAGACCTTTGACTTTCCTCGAAGAAACTAAGCTTATGGGAGGTCATGAGGTCATAAAAAAGTGAACTATATAACTAAAAAGATATAGGACATCAGATATATTCGTCAGATTCTGTTTCAAACTATTATATATATTACAGAAAAAAATAGAGATGCTGTATGCGAAGTTACAGCAACATAGCTTAAAAAATTAAGGGATTGTTTCCATAAGAAACATATTTGGCGGACAAACGGACACACGGACAGGGATATATCCATTTAAATAGTGATCCTGAAGACCAAAGAACCGGCACTTTTTCTTGTAACCAAAACACTTAGTAATCTTTTGAAAAAAAATAGCACTTTCTGTTAGGATCACTTAAAAAAAAAATGAGTATGCACCACATGGCGTATACGTATTATTTGGTATTATCCTTGACGTACTTTCATGGCTTGGAACGCTTTGCTTGGTTTAAATTGTTGAGTGCGCTCTGGGAACGCGGCGAATCCACAACTGACATGACACCGCTGCCAGGCCGGTCTTATATACGAAAAGATGCCGCCAAGATGGAGAGTTTTGGTTGCAAGTTGCAAGTTGGAGTCTTCAGGCGGCATATACGATTAACCGGAAAAGCGCGGCTGCCGAAGTGCAGGCAGAAAAGAAAAACTAGCAGTGCGGTTGGTAGTTACACTAAAAGAAATTTTTTAAAAATTCAAGAAGTAGGAAATTTTTTACAGATTTTTGTAAAAGCATTAAAAATTTCTAGCAGAAAAATATTAATAATTTTTTAAATAAATTTCTTACAGTGTGAACTGGGATGTTGCCGCAATGTGGGCCAAATGCTGCCGCATCATCGTTGCCATTAGTCAAGGAAGGAGGGGGAGGCCTTCAGGGATTGGGACCTAAAGTTGCAACTTGAATTTTGGATTCGGGTTCGGATTGGGTTTTTGGGATTCGGATTCACTTTCAGGTTGCTAGGTGGCAGGCGAAAGCTGCCCCAACTCATAACTCAAAATGCATTCGTTTGTCGCATTTGGCCAAAAAAAGCATTTTGTTTGTATAGCATTGGCGCATCATCCTCTAGCTGTTGCTGTTGCTGCTGCACCTTTCTCATTACATAATCCACAAGCAACAGGCAGCAACAACAGCTAGCCACAGCAGCAACATCGGCCCAACTTGCAACTTGTGGCGTTGCCATTATTTGATTTGCATCTGGCTGGATATCGCCCGTAATGGTAATTTGCCCCAAAACGATGACAATGCCCATTGGATTAGGCTGGCCAACTTTAGCCTCCTGGGCATTGTCCGTCTAGTATCCAGTCATCCAGTCATCCCGTCATCCACCAATCCATCATTTCGGGCGTGACGATGTCGAATTGGTTTTCACAACAAAAGCACAACCAACCACAAAATCACCACAAAATATGGCCAACAAAGCCCCAGACATATTGGCCAAAATCTCACGATTAGTCACAATATTTTTGAATTTGTTTGGAGAGGGGGGCCATATGGTAATTGCCGGATAAAATGGTATAGTGCCCATAAACAAGACATAAATTAAAGTTGATCTTCCTTGTATAAAAAGAAATACGATAGAAAGGCGCAGACTTACGAATGGAGTTGAAAGTTATATACTCTTTTTAAGACAATTTCCGAATGGCTCATAAAAAATATACTACATATATGCAACAAAACTATAAGATAAAGTCCATATATCTTGCTGATTCCAACATAAATCCTAAAAGCCACTTTTGTAAGACTGTCTACCAAGTTACGAGTTAAAAGATTTAAAATTATAGGAATAGTTGAAGTTTAAACAATTTGGCGGACACGCGGACGCTTACACTTGGATATAGATCTAAAAAATATAAGATATTGTTAACCGATCTTGCTTATTTCAACATACATATATTGTAAAAACCATCAAAAGCCGCCTGTATACCCAATTACAAGTAAATAGAATTTAAATTAAGCGAATAGTTTAAGTTTTAGCAATTTGGCGGACAAGCAGACACACGGACAGGGATATAAAAGCTATAAGATATAGGACTGCTAGACCAGCATACATCCTAAAAGTCATCCACAGCAACCTATTTACCAAATTATGAGAGAATAGCGCTTGAATTTAAGGAATAGTCTTACTTTAAGCATTTTGGCCGACAAACGGACACACGGACATGGCTATTTTGAGCCAAAATTCACTCCTTACAACAAAAATTAACCTCTTTCTGGACATATCCACAAAACTATAATACCCTACCTATATTTCAGCCCATAAATCATAAATAATGTCAAAGTCTTAACAAGATTTGACTTTTCATTTAATCACAAGAAGCTTTAGGAAATGATTTATATGCGATGGGTTTGGTTTCCTTTGATATTTTTCACCAATTTCCCAAGACCTTTTTGGAAAAAAGTGCAAGTGAGTTTCCATCTCACATAATCCCAATCAGGCTGACAAAAAAATAGTGATCGCAATGCGTAATGGATGGCATAACTATTTTTTTGTAGTTGTTGTCTTTGAAACATAAACAGTAGTCTGGCCTCCTGTGGCAAGCAATTAATATGCACCCATGGGGGGGCAAGTCCGTTGTTGCAACGCCTACTTGCCTCATTACACTGCAATTGAGGGCGTGCACCGCGCTATTTTAGTGGGCGTGGTGTCGGCACTTCACTAATTGCTGATGGAGATGTAAAATGTAAAAATGCAAAATGGAAAATGCAAATGCAGATGCGGTCGTTGTCGAGGAAAGTGCGGCACAATAAATTTCACATCTCTTACACAATTTTTTATTTCTTTTTTTTCTACTTTTTTTTTTTACTTGCAAGTTGCAAGTTAAGGATGGTGCAGGTAACACGACAAAGTCAACAAACTAAACAAACTGCCGTCAATTGCACTGCCGTTCCAGACGCAATACTTGTTGCAAGTTGTAAGTTGCAAGTTGCCGGTGCGATCATCACTTGGGGGCTCTGTCTCTGTGGCATCCTCAACGGATAATTCAAATTCGAAAACGTTTAAGATCCAAGATATCAACAAATGACCTGTCAATGGCCCAAAAAGCCATATAGTGGCTGGCACACTTTCAAAAAATAAATTCCAAACTATACATAATTGAAATTTTTTGAAAGAAAAAAAAAGGTATTTTTCAAAAAACAAGTTTGAGGAAAAAATATTTTGAAACCAAAAAATAAAGAACTTAATAAAAATAAGGAAGTATCAATGAATTTTAAATAAATACTATGGCTGAGACCCCCTGTAGCTTAAGTTTTTAACTTTAAACTAAAAGTATTTAAAATAGATAAAGAAAATATTTACATATTATTTGAATAATGAGTTCTAGTTTCTTTTTCGATTACTTTAACTTTTGGAGCTTCATAAAAACTAAAACCACTTTGGAATTTTATCCAGAATTCTAAAAATAGAAAAAAAGAACAAGAATTATTTTGAAAAAAGGGAAAACTACACTACTTTCTTAAGGGACTGTCTACACTAAAGCTTGTGTCTTAAAACTTGAGAATTTAAGGAGAATTTTGGAATGAAACTTATAGGAAAGGTATAATATTTAGAAAAGGTTTAAATATGAGGTTTATAAAGTATAGAATTTATACTAAAGACATAAGGTAATATATAAAGATAAAATAAACTACAAATTATAAAAAAAACAACCATTAAGCCTAAAATTTAAATCCTAAAATAAAACCGTCTGAGAAAGTTTAAGTCTTTAAAAGAAACAATAACTGTGCCACCTGAAAAACAATAACCCCAAACAATAAAAATTCAATGGCTAAGCCAACAAGAAACTTGCCACTTGCAACGTGCAACTTGCAACTAGCAAATGGCAACAAGGAAGCACATAAACTGCGACCCTATAGGCAGCCAACGAGAAGAGGGCAGTGTCAGCTGTGGCACCAGCAGATGATCTCCAGTTGCACATGCTTAGAGTCCAAATGCCCCTCGCCGACTCGCCACACCACTTCCACACCACCGAGTGTGGTTTATAGTGTAGTGGAGCAGCGGGTCAACGTATCGGCTTCGTTTGGCTTTGGCTTTCATTTAAATTACAATGGTACGGAGGCTACGGAATGGGAATGGGAAAACGTGTTTCCCGCCAAAGCTGCCACTACGACGATGCCACGCTGCCACGATGCCACGCTGCCACTATGAACTTATGATACTTTTGGTGTGTGTCTGTAATTTTTGTATCGAAACTGCAGTTTAGACAGATCGCCGGCTCTCACCTTCCCAGCGATTGTTTCCGGATTGTTGCATCATTCCACCACGTCACCAGGTTTCCTGCTTCGATGGGCCACCAAAAAAAATTAAAAAAAAAATAAAAATAAAAAATTAAAAGCCACATCCTATCTTAAAAAACATATACTATTTTTTTTACATACACTTTTCGATTTATTCGATAATTATGCATAGGTTTGTTATCGTAATTAGATAATTTAATTAAATTTAAAGTGATGCTCTCTGTTTACATTGCAATGGAGGTTGTGTGGGCCTCAGTTGTCCTAATTTGTATATATATATATATATATATTTTTAAACTCCTTAATTGTTTTTTGGTTGTTGATTAATTATTGCAAACATTAGAGTATATATATGTATATATACTGTATATTTAATATATTTATATATAAGAGCTGTACGTACAAGTAACGCTTATAATGCTTAGATATAGGCATATGTATAGTACGATATTTTAAATAGCTATTCGAGTAGCCAGCCCACAATTGAACTATTTATATAGCCAATAAAAAAAAACACACTTAATACACTTAATAAGATGACCAAAAAAATAAATAAATAGTTAACTATATAGAGGTTTTTTTTTTAAAGTTAATTTTCTACGCGAAGACTAGACTGGGTTGATTAGATTTTTTACAGAAATTCGCTCTCGTGACTAGAAGATTTGGGGGGGGGGTGACTAGAAGAATGGGAGATGCTGCCTAGCCTGGAGAGCCGCCAAGTCACTCGCTCAAACCCGGCGAGATCATGGCGTCGATGGGCTCGAGCTATTGCTCCATTATAATCGTATCCTCGGTCTTGACATTCCCAGAGTTGATGGCCTCCATGGCCTTGCTGAGGAGTGTGGCATCCTTGAGACTAACGACCTGTACCAGTTGGGGTTCCTGGCCGGGTCCACCTTGGATCATCATTTGGTGCATGCCGGGTGAGACGGTAATGGTTTCCAATTGATCACCGTTTTCCACCTGATTTGAAGAAGAAAAAAAATTAATAAAATTAATAAAGATTCTTATGCTTTAAAATATTTTAAATATCCTTTCAAAAACCAGTGCTTTTTTTTAAAAATCAAGCATACTTACAGAAAACTCAGCTTAAATAAAATCATATCTATAAATAAAAAGCAAAAATTGTTAAAAATATATATCAACTCGAAGAATAAAAAACAAATGATAATAAAATCACAACAACAAAGGATTTATTCAATAAAATTTGTTGGCTTCAGTTTTTTTAAGGTTTTTTTTTTGCACTTCTTTACAACATTTTTGGGAGGTTTTGGGGGTTTTTTTGAACAAAAAAATTTGGTCTAGAACTTAAAAATGATTTTCAATAATATACATACATATCAAATAAAACATTTAAACACAATAATAATAATAATAATAATAATAGTAATAGTCATATTTGTAGTAATTAAAAATGAATTCAATAAACACAATAGCAATAAAGATGATAATAGTAATAGATCAACACAAACTAAATTAATATGCACTTCAAGATGGTATATATAGTACTATATAGTGTTACTATAGCTCCTGTTCTTTAAAGCATTTTTAATGCCATTTGACTAATTTTTGGGGTAAAATTCACACGTTTTTCACACTTAACTCTAAGGTCTCTTCCCTGTGTGTGCGTTTTTCTTGACTACTTAACAACCTCTAAATAATAATAATAATAATAATAGTAATAATAGCTAACCCAATAAAGTTTCAACTTAAAACAACAACTACTATGGTTAATATTTGGTTTGTGTGTGTGGGTTTTGGCGCTCTACGCTTCTAAGCAAGATTATGTGCACTTTCGTTCAACTTATGGCTTAAAAAAAAACCTAATTATAAAATTCCATTTTTTTAGTATCTAAATTTAGCATTTTAGAATTTAAGATTTAGACAAAACAATTTGTAGCTAGCTGTAGGAACAAGCTGAACGTTTTCTGGTAGCTTTGATTTTTGGTTTCAATTATCAACAATTATGGTTACGATTTTCGGCTTCCCTAAATTCTGAAATCTGAGGTTATTCCGCTTTTCACTTTCTCCTTTCTTTTTTGGCATTCACAATTGGTGTTTCTCTTAAAGATTTACAAGGTTTTTTAAATGGCAAGTGCATTTTTTTTAGTGGTTTTTCATGCAAAAAGCCGTTTATGTTTTCTGACTAGATTCGAGATGGGCTGGATTTTAGCTTTCTGGGAGGAGGAGGAGGAGCCTACTACTCCAAGTGCTCCAGTTTGATGGTCTTGGCAGGCAGCTGCAAGTGAAAGTTCGTCAAACTGGCACTGTCCACACACCTAATGGCCGCCGAGGAGGTGGTGTTGGTGGTGCCCTCAATGGATTTTGTACTTTTTGTTTTCAGAGAACCACCACTGCCACCTCCACCTGGCTTTCTACGCCTCTGAGCTACAGATACACTGCCTGGTGATACTGCTACCTCTCCTGGATTCCCTCCCCTTCTGGTGGACCTGGTGCTGGCCACCTGACCCACTGCCGGCGTGGCTAGGACAATGGGCAGTGGCATCTTAATGCTATTATTGTTATTCGCTAGCACACTATTGTTGTTGTTCTGGTGGCCGCCGAAGCTGCTCCCACTACTGCTGGTAGCGGCGGCGGTGGTGGAGCTAGTGGTGGTGGCCGCCAGGTAGTACCTGCCACCGGATGCCGCCTGTAAGGTGGCCGGCTGGCCCACCAATGTCGCACCGCCACCACGACGACCCACCGCCGTTCCGGCACTAATCAGCGAGTAACACTGGACGCCAGCAAAGTTGGCGCCACCGCCACCGCCCCCGGCTGCCGTTGTACTACGTGTGCCACTGGTATCTACCTGCATGGGCGCCAGGCACACGGTGCCGTCACTGTTCGTTATCTGCTGCATGTTGGCCATCACGGACTGGTACATGGAGACGGGCACCGAGATCACATTGCTCACCGACACCGGATACCCTGTAATAATAATATTTCAGAAATAAATTAAAGTCTTCAAGGAAGGAGTAGGATGTAGATTTCGGATTCTCACCCTGACCATCCTCGGTGGTGATGAATATTTGGCCATCTTGCGTCTCGGTGAGATCCACGGTCATGTTCTCATGGCCATTGACGTCCGTGAGACTCTGGACTGTCTGGATGGTGGCACCGCCTTCGCCTTGGTGGAGCTATGAAGAGGAAAGGGATGTGGATTAGAGACATATCTTAAGAGTACCGGGTATCAATATTAAGGGCCGAATGGAATGGATATGAAATACAGTCAAAAGAAGACTAGTATGCGATATCCGGTACTTAAAACCCCAAAAATTATACTAGAAACTCTCTCAAAAAGCTCCCATTAAACCCCTCTTAAGAATATCGAGTATAAATATCATCTTAAAGACTCAAAGACTCACCGTTGCTACACCCTGAACCTGAGCAGTGGTACCATCCGGCAGGGTTATGATGGGATTATTGGGATCCACCTGAATCAGGGACACAGTGCCATCAGCATTCTGCGATAGAACCGTCTGCGTGGTATACTGTTTTAAAAAATAAATAAATTCTGATGAGTATCATTAGAAAAAGTATAAAATATTAACAAAAATTTCAACATAAACTTAAAAAAAAAAAAAAAAAATACAATAATAAAAACATAATGCAAATAAAAACAAGCCATAACATACATAAGTTTAAACAAAAAATAATGATTTGTGTTTTTCGTGTGTAGACTCTACACTGTAGAGAGTAGAGTAGATTTGGAGGTTGTGTCGGTTGTTGTATTTACATGTGCGAATAATTGTGTGTTTGTTCGATTGTTTGTGAGTTCGGATGCAAATAATGATGAAAATAACCAATAACTCGATGGCGTGCAAACGCATTCGCACAATAATCAGCTGCAAAAGAAAGACAAACAAACAAAACAAAAAATAATCATATCAAATCAGGTTGTCAAACAATAAAAAAAACATTAAAGACCATCATCATCATCATCATGTGGGTGGTGACAGTAGAAGCCTCGGCGAACTCAAATTGGTAGCAAAAATATCGAAAATAATTACACCAACTAAGGGTTGAGCCAAAAGAAGAGTAAAGAAAAATAGGTGTGCTTTTTTTTTTGTGGGAAACAGTTGGGAATTGTTGTGACCTTTTGGTGGCATGGTATTTGAAAGGGTTTTTTGGTTCTTAAAATTCTTTAAAAATCTATTAAGTTGTATTAGATATGAGTGGTAATAGTTTTCATTCAAATTCTAAAAAATTTTGGGTTTTGTTTAAAAATTTTAAGGTTATCTTTCCTGAAAAGACTTGTTTTAACATGTTCCAAGGAGTTAAAACATCTAAGCTTTGGAATTTAGGTCTATTCTCTAATGGTGATCTATTCTTCAATGGTAACATCATAATATTCATAAAAATTCGTTGAAATTGTGACTTTCTATTGAACATTTTGAGGTTATCTCTCAATAAAAGACATCTTATAGCGCTGTGTTAGAACAAATACATGATCCAACATGCTTATGCTAGTTATAACCCTTGAATTTAGGTTACTATTACTAAAAATAACCTTCTCTGACTTTATCTCTGACTAATAGAAGTTTCTATTGGAAATTATAAGGTTATACTCCTTTAAAAGCCTTGTATTAACATGAACCAGCATGTTACAATATGTACCAGCGTGTTAAAACGGGTTATATCGTTTTTATGGAAGTTTAGGCTTTTCAATTTAGGTTATGATGATAATATAATCATAACTTTCATATAAGTTCTTACAAATTGTGACTTTCTATTGAAAGTTTTTAGGTTATCTTTACTCTAAAGACATGTTACAGCATGTTCTGGTGCTTTAAAACATGTTTACGGAAGTTTAAGCCTTTGAATTTAGGTAATTATGACAAAATGTTTCTAACTTTCATACAAATTCTTTGAAATTGTGACTTTCTTTTAAAAGTTTTGAGGTTATCTCTCCCTAAAAGACATGTTACAACATGTGTCTTTTTGAATTGAGGTTATGATCTATAAAAGTTATAAATTATATCAATGTTTTAAGCCCCTATCCTCTACTAACCTATCTTTTAGTTTTAAATACCATAAAATACAATTAATAGAAACTCCCCCCTAAACCCTAACCTCTCCAACCATGCTCCTTGTCTCAACAAATCCCCACTAGATTCCAGGCTCGGTTAGTGGACATTAGGAGTAGTTGTTTAGTCGGATTAGTACGAACATCAACGTCGCTCAGCGTTATGGGCTCGATGCAGACTTGGGCATTGGCGATCTGCTGGGCAGTGACCGTTTGGGCGGCATTCGATTGGGCGGCCGCTGCCGCGGCAGCAGCGGCACTTACAGCTGCGGCTGTTGTCGGCACCGCTGTCGCTGTGGCCGTGCCACTGGCGGTGGTCAGCTGGATGGTCTGCGGCTGGCCGCCGCTCACCGGCTGGATGTGCACCGTGCTGGGCAGTCCGGTGGTCTGATGGTGTTGGCTCTGTTGCTGCTGATGGTGATGATGATGCTGCTGCTGCTGTTGCTGGGACTGTTGCTGTTGTTGGGAGGCGGGCGCCTGGCAGATCTCGATCTTTGTGGAGGCGGGCAGCGTGGCCGTCGTGGTCACGTGCTGGTTATTGGTACTCTGAATAATCGTCGGCGCTGGCGTGTTGCTTTGGGCCGTGTGCGTGGTGATCACTGTGCCGGCGCTGTTGATCTTAACGACGTTCACCTGTTGCGGTTGCTGTGTTGGGATACGATTTGGATTTTTGATTGGATGATTGGATTAGTAGATGGTATGCATAGCCAAGTGCCAGATGCCATATGCCATATGCCAGATGCGTATTAGTGTTTATTTTAAATCGAAATGGCAGTGAAATGAATAATAAAGTTTATAATCCCAAAATGACATCCTATAGTCGCTTTTCAAAAAAAATCCGACTATTCCACAAACAGTACTTATGGCTGGGGATTCAAATCCTTGAAAGGATCTGCCACATAGGTACTGTTTCCCGAAAACAAAACACAAAAATAATCCTAATCCTGTGGCAACTCACATTGCTGTTGCCCGTGGGTGGTGTCATGGTGGTGACCGTGTGTATGGTCGGGGGATTGGAGAGCTCCATGTCCTCGTCCTCGTCACCCGATTGCGAGATCAGTGCGTTCACCTTGTCCTCATCATCGGCGAACGTCGGCAGCAGATCCTCCCGGCCATGGTACTTGTAGCAGTTGATCACGATCTTCCTCAGGGCATGGGTCCAGCTGATCTGGTTTTCCAAAAACAAATACATCATTACCATCATAGATATCATCATAATATGGATCTACCCACCTTCTGTTTGTCGTCCTCCGAACGGGCATCCATCCTGACATTGGCCCAGGGCAGTTCCTTGGGCCACCATGGCGGCCGGGTCGATTCCCTGCCCCAACCGGGCTTGCCCCGTCCGGTGGAGTACTTGAGCATCAGCGGAATGAAGGCCCGCAACTGGGCCTGGGTCATCTTCTCCACGGGCGTGGGTATGCCATCGATCACCAGACCGGGCAGCTCGAACAGCGACGGATCGTCCTGGGGCGGTGGTGGCGCCTGCTGGGCCAGGGCATTGTCCAGCTCGTCCATCACAATGTTCTTCAGATTGCGCAGCACATCCTCCAGCGGCTTGGCCCCGAACACCTTGTAACTGGTGTTGGGCTTGCCCGGCGTGGCCACCAGCACCACCGCCTGCTTGCCCACCCGCCCGGTGAACTCGTAGATAATGCCTCTCAGCTTCCGCAGCAGGCGATTCTGTTGCCGCTTCCGCACCGAGGGATTCGTCTCGAAACAGTGCGGACGCTTCCGTTTCTTCGAACTGGCGATGGCGGCAGCAGCGGCCACTCCCACCGGCCCGGCGGCTGCCAGCTGATGGGCCACATCATCGTTGACGGGCAGGGGCCCAAGATCGCCCTCGTACAGGCTGCCGTCGCTGCTGATCAGATCATCGTCGTCGTCCTCGGAGCCCAGCGACTGGATGTCCTCGTCCAGCATTTCGATTTTGTAGGTGGTGCCGTTGCTCTGGGAACTGTTGCCGCCGCTCTGGACCTGACCGCCGCCACCGCCGGTGGTCGTGATGGTTGTGACGTTGAGGCCGCTGCCGGAACTATTGCTACCGCCGGCATTGCCGCCACCGGAGCCACCGCCGTTGCCTCCGGACGTGGTTGTGGTCACCACGACATTGCCCGCCGAGCTACGCTGGCTTCCCGCCGGCGCCACGACCAGCCGATAGCTTGTGGTGGCCAGTTTGTGTGTGTGTGTTCTAGCTCTCCTGATCTCTCCTCTCTCCTGCTCCTGGTCCTCTCTCTCTCTCCAACGGGCTCTCGATCCTTAAAGCTAATCCTTGCAGGCCACTATCCTGGGGCTTCTTATTCGCATGCGCAGTGTGATGATAACCAGAGCTGTTGGGGTTCGAAAAACGAGTTCTTTTAGATTGAAATTTTTATAAAATTTTATAAAATTTATTTTGAAAAAGTTTCCCATTTCTTTGCGTTTCTATCTCTCTATCGCTATCTCTTTTTCTTTATTCTATTTGCTTTGCTTTCCCGCTCACTCTGGCCCTTGATAGCGAACTAATTACAGCGCAAGTGGTGCAAGTGCCAGACTACGGCACTCTCGGATACCCAGTAGTTGGGAAAAGGTTTTATTTTTATGAGAAAATATTAGGGTATGATGTGATGATGGAATATGGTATGGAGGGGTTTCAGATATGATATGAAGTGATAATATGATATTTTTCAGATAGAATAAGATATATATTTTTAGATATTATATCTTATTTTGTGCTTGATGTGATATGAGAGGATGTTTGTTCAGGATATGTTAGGATTATATATGGATGATATATGCTTCAGATACGAGAGGATTATGACATTTTCAAGATATAGTAGGAACAGCTGATGATAGTAGGATGTACTCAAGATATGATGGGATATGGATGTGATATTCCAAAGATGGGTGAAATAAGCTGATATCTCCTAAAATGATTTGATATGATATAGACTCTAGAATCTAGATATATCATATAATATACTCAAGATATTATAGGATATAATACCCCTCAGATTTGATAGGATATTTTGTTAAAAAATATATTGATAATATATTAAATATATTGATATGTTTGAAATACGATATGATAGGTCCCTAAATTATGTGATATATGTCTGTTTTTATGATACTATAGGATATGGATATAATTTTCCTAAGATGGAAAAGATAAGATGTTATATCCTATGTTAATATGATATGATATATTTTTGATATGATATTTGGGATATAAATAATTCTAAATATCTAAGATACGATATGACATGATATACTTATGATTTTATATAATATAATAATAGGTTAGAAGGCTTTCTTGTAATAGAATTCAGGCATTTTAAGGTCTTCTTTTATGGTTTATATAAGTTTTTAACAAAGTAAACCTTAAATCTTTTAAAAATCCTCTTTAAATGAAAACTCGGTTATGATAGTTCTATAAATTCAATAAGTCTATATAGTCTATTATATATGTATCTTTGACTATTGAATTTTGGGAAATCCTTTAAAACTCAAGTAATGTTTATGTTTTTTTTTAAATAAATAGAAAGGAAAATTGTTAGGCCTATGCATATATATAATTCATTCCCTAGTTTCAGAAGATATCATAAAAATATAATAAATAACCTAGATAAACATATACATCCATAATCATATCAATTTAGGCCAACCAAGCCCTTTTAAGAGTAGTTTTTTTTAAGTAAAAAATTATATAAAAAAATAAATAAATAAAAACCAAATATATATCTTTTTTTTGAAGTTTGAAAGTTAGTTAGAAGTTAAGAACTAAATCCTATTTGTTTAGCCTTCAAAAAAACCGCAATCCCTACATACAAATATTTATCATCCCACCAACTAATACACCCTTCTAGCCACAAAGTATACAGGGTACTGCCACCACAACAGTTGTAGAACTTTGTTCGCTTATTTTCTTTATTGCTGATAAGCGGCAAGTGAATCAGGTCATAAGCGCGCATGCGCAACAACGAGCGTACATTTTTATTTTTTTCCCCATTTTTAGGCTTTATATAACCCCCAAGTCCAATAACAATACCCCAGTGGATCTGGACTATATATATGCACAACTGGTGTGCCAGTATCGGCTTGTAACTCGAGCTCAGGTCGCCATGGGCTTAGGTCTCAGGTCCCTTGTGGGTTCGGACGATATCGATGGGGGGGATATACATAAATACATATATACCTATATAGTATGTAAGAATAGGGTTTTTGGGTTTTCGGGGTTTTTTGATAAACAACGAGGCACAGAAACAAAAAAATGCAAATATATGATAGGGGTGCCTGCGGGTGCAAGGTGAGCAGCACAGGTAGTAGTGGTTCAAATGTAATACCATATCAGCCCATAACCGACCCTGACACAAAACGAAAGAGATAGTAAGGTTACAGTCCTGGGTTCTTCCAAGGGGGTGTCTCTTTCTAATTTGAGGGATAACGGGGGGTTCTGGTTTTAGGGATGATCTGGATCTGAGTTATTATTTGTAATAATTTTTCTCTTTCTTTAGTTATAATAGCTATCTTTTTCTAAAAAATATTTTAATTCTTTTATTTTATTTATTTTCATTTTTTTTTATTTAAATTTATTTTTATAAACAAACTATAAATCTCTCTGGTAGCATTGCGCAGAATCTTGCAGCTTCTTGGGGAGCTACTATCTATCTCTCTCTCGCTAGTACCCTCTCTCTCTCTCTCTGGGTCTGGCTTTCTTGGGGGCCGTTGCACGTGCGCACTGATAAATTTAATACCATATTACTTTACTTTATTTTTTTATTTTAAATATTTTTTTTGCTTAAATAAGCATTTTATTTTAATATTTAAATTTTTTTATTATTGCTTGCCTTTGCTGTTTTTATGGCCAAGTTACTGGAAGAGGGGGTTGCTGGAACAATTCCAATTGGAATTTTGGAAATCTTAAATATTTTTTTAAAAATATTTTTCTATTATCCTTAATTGGCACGCACTTTTAGCACTAAAAACACACTTTATTTAAAAAAAATTATTAAATAAAATTGCACTTTTTTTTTGGAGAATATTTTTCCGGAGAGAGACCCAACAACGAACCGCACCGCACCGCTGTCTCCGTCCGTGTGTTTTGTGTCGAATGTCCGTGTGGTGGCGGGTGGTGGTGGCTGCCTGATAGATGCAGAGAGGTGGTGGTGGTGCGGTGTTACCGTGTTTCGGTTTCTGTTTTTTTTTTTTCTCGTTTTCCGTACTTTCTGTTTTGTCTGTTTCGGTTTTCTGTTGTTGTGGCGCTGCTCAAGTTCTATTTGCGTTTGCTCAGAAACTTGGAAAGCAACGACGGCAACGCAGCAGCAGCAGTAGCAGCGGCCGCGACGCCGCCGACGCCGGAACGAGACAGGCGCACACACCAAAACACAGCCCAGGCTGGTGTAAGCGAGTGAGAGAGAGCTAGCGGGCGAGAGAGCGCCCTCGCAACAACTAAGACTGGGGGGCGAAAGAGAGAGGGCTATAGAGAAGAGAATTCAACCCCACGGAGTGATTGCGACAAAGCAGCGACGTCGACGCAGTGAAAAATCAATACTGCGCCCATGCGTCGACTTGGCCACATGAAATGGCTATATATAGGGTCTAGGAGGCTAAGATACTATATCTATCCTTTTTTTCTTTTTTAAAATTTTTAATTTTTAAATATTTAAATAAAAATTACAAAAACTTTAAAAAATTGTTGAAAAAATAGTACCTAGCTTTGAAAAAATGCTAAGCTTTTAAGCCCTACACCCCCTAAGCTGGTGGAAAAGAGACCACCATACAAGCAGCCACCCACCACCCCTACGAAAAAAGAGAGCGAGAGAGAGCCTTTGATTATTAAACTCACCTGTTTTCTAAACACAGATTCTTAAAATAATTAAAAACTAACAACTAAAATTAAAATTTACAATTTTTTAAGCTTAAAAAGCTGTTTAAAAAGAGAAAGAGACAAAGGTATGCACTAGTGCCACCCTCTCTTTGAGAGCCCAGAGCACAGATTGTGAGAAAAAGCCACCCCTAAAGCCCAAAAATGCACTTTTCACCACTTTATGCCACCACTGTTGGAAATATTTGGAAAAAAAACCAAAAATTCATAACGCTTGTGATAAGAATGCTTATCCACCCCAACCCCCTCCCTCCACTGACTGACTGAACTGAACTGGAATCCATATGGCCACGCATGCACTGCTCGCACCACCCCCTACAGCCACCACCAGCTTGGCAGGAAAGCTGAAAAACACCATCACCCCATCCCACTGTTAGGGGTGGTTTTCCGCACACCACAGTGCTGCGCGTGCCGAGCGTGCCGTTCGACACTGGAGGGTCGAAAAAGTGGAAACAATAAAATATTAATGTTTCTTGTTTTTGTTGCAAGATCAACTTGATTTTTTCATCCCTAGTGTTGAAAATAAATAAGGGAGGGGGGATCTTGAAAGACAGGAATTTATTAAAACCAGTTTTGATACGAAAATTAACATTTTAAAAAATATATAATATTAAAAATTAATCAAAACTTCAATTCTTATCATACTAATATTTTTATTTATTTATTTTAGCCCACCGTACCTATTTCTATGACCTCTAGTGTCCTGTATCTGTGGGATTTTTGGGGTTGCGTGCGCAGCGCTTTTCCCTCCCACCTCCTGCGCCAAGGGCCCTGAGAAGCATGCTACAAGCTGTAAGCTGTAAGCTTGTAGCTGCAAGCTCGTGTCAAGGCAACCGGACTCTGAGAGATACACACCCAACGGGGGTTAGCAGTGCGTGAAGGCTTCATTTTATCCAACTGCCAATTATTCAGCTTCCTAGCAAGGTCATACTGGGCGCTTGCGCATATGGTCATACTTTCGTTTATTAAAATTCTATAAAATTTTTTTGAACTGCATTCTTTGCTCTCTTTTTCTAATTATATATAGTTTTTTTAGATTTGTTTTATTTTTAAACGAGAGAGAGATAGTAAGAGTATGAGAGAATTTGAAAATGATTAGAAAACAGCATCTCTTGATATTCTGGGGAGATGGGACCCGCTTCGTAGATGTGTGGGTGCTAGATGGTGGGTGCATGCGCCCACCGCCTGTTATCAGCTACAACGGCAACTAACTCCCACTGCGTCAGCGCACACACAGATACACACACACATGCGTAGTAATCACCCATACTTGGGCAAGCAGCGCATGCTGGAGCAGCACAGTGGGCGGTACTGGGTCAGGCAATTAACTATAGTCTGTTATCGGACTTTAATATAGAAATATTTTTTATTAAAAGAAAATAATTAGA